AAATAATATATATTTAATGGTTTCTTAACATATGCATTAAATATATATTATTAAACTTTGAATATACATATTTTAATTCAGAACATTTTGTACAGTTTTAGAAATTAGATAAATGTACCATTTTTTAACGAAAATTCAATCAATTTACATATATTTTTATTGTTATTTTTTCAGTTTTCATAAAACATTTATTATTTACATATTACATGATTTGAGGAAAACATACATTTCTGTCACAAATAAAAGTTTAAAAAAATTTTTTCATCTAAAATTAACGAGACTATAGTCTACTAATTTTTTTTTTCAAACTAAGCCCAACACAAAACCATTTTCTTTCATTAATTATGAATTATCACGAAAACTTAAACGTTTGTGATTATGAAAAGTATTTTAAAGTAACCATGGATCTCATTTTTTTTCTCAAAACATTAGCCCTACCTCAAAAGATTAAAAAAAATATTCTAAGAAATTTTTCAAAATGAATTATGCTAGTTTTTAAATCAAATGTGTGCTCAGTTATGAAATTCAACATCTGTTAACCACGTTGATTGAAATGTCATTCATACACACAAAATTATGGTGATTATTATTATGCTCAAATGTCTATATCAAAATTTTATAAAAACTTATATTTAGTCACTTTGTATTTTAATACAACTCTATTTTTGAAATGAATTGCTTACTCTTGTCTTCAATCAAGCCTTTTATGCACTTCTGTTTATCCAGCCATGTACATTTGCGCTTATAAATGTAAAATAAAATATATTATTTTATCCTGAATTATTTCGTTGCATTATTTGTTTGTGTTAATATATAGATAAGAAACTGTTATAAATATTTGAACCGATGAGTTCAAAAGCCGATCATCTCCAAGAAATCAAATTTTACAAGAGAGACAAAAAAAAAACTGAATAGTTGAGTATCAGCTTTATATATCGAGCTTTTTTTATTTTATTTTTATTATTAAAATATGACTTTACAAAATATTCTATTGAAAATGTGTGATAACATCACTCAATTTTTTAAACAAAATGTGTTTTTGACTAATTTTTGGGAAATATCATAAAACGAATATTATATTTAACAAGCGAAAATATCAATAATTTTTCAGTTAGAGATGGAATGAAGATTTTATTTGTCCTTAACTATACATATTCACAAATATTTGCGTAGATTTAGAAATTTTTTCGATTATGGCTATTTGTGCTGGAATCGCACATTGCAAGTTTCATCGATGACACGCCACGTGAAGATCAACTTGACCTTCTTACTTTAGCCAGGGCCGAAGCCGTAAATAATGTGTACGAAAAACATCTAGATAATAAGCGCAGATTCGATCTTCATCGTCGATCTCATTCATTTAAGACAGGAGATCTCGTCTTGTACGACTGGCCTAAACAAGGAGCTCATAAACTTTCTCCCATTTATAGAGGACCGTTTCTGATTGTTCGTCCAGTCGGGGCCGTATGCTACGAGATCAAGTCTATGGATCAAAGAAAGAATCTTTTGAAAGTTGTTCACGTACAACATCTTCGTCCATATCACATGCGAGATACGCCAGTCACCCAGGAAGAAGAGAGCTCGGAAGAAGAGGAAGAATCAGTTTCCGAATTACATCCAGTAGAAAACATCCAGGATTCTGAAAATTACCCGAACATCATATCGAGCCGCTACGATCTGCGACGCAATCGACGCCCGCCTGAAAGACTTATTAGACAAAATCTGTCCTAGAACCTTAATGTTTACGCTTCAATGTAAATATCTACATTTAGCATTGAGCGGGGCCGAATGTAAGGTTCGCATAAGTCTAATTTTATTATAGCAGATAATAGTTTAACTTTCATATAAAAAGGTGGCAACATTCAGAGATGTAAATAGAACGCTTCGCAAAAGCATATACATCGCTGTTATTATTTTTCATTAAATACTTTTATAAATTACTGTATTTACTTATTTACTGTATTGCATATTAATTAAATTCCTTGTCATTCAACTTTATCTTATACATAAGAGAATTTTGATAACACATTTTTCATATAATGCTCCAGCGACCAGCTTTTCAAACGAAGTATCACATTATTTGTAGCCACCTCTCCTTTATAAATCATAATTACTTTAATTCCTCTTTATTTTCTAGCGTATGCCCTTAAGAAAACTACTTTCTGAATCGCTCATAGTCGCATTAAAAGTAGTATCAAAAGAATAACAAGCCTCAACTAAATAATTAGTTGTTAGGTTATGCGAACAATTTCATAAGCAAACAACAGCTGCCATCTAGCGGTATATTTCTAAGCTTATTCCGAGAACAGGTCATCTCCTGGTTATGGAATGTTTTCGAACTAAATTGATATTTCACTACACAAAATATATTATACAATCAAACCCCATTATAGCGAATTCCCGGATATAGTGAACGAAATGTTCGTTCCTGTGCCATGCTATACACATATAATATTTTTTTTGTGGATATAGTGAACCAAAAGAAGTGAGGAAATTGGATATTATGAACTTTTTTCTGTCTTCAAATGATTTTTTTCTTCATTTTTTTAGTAATTTTGAAATTTCTACATAAAATACATATACCTATTTTCAAAACCATCTATCGCGTGGAATGTAGCCCATAAGTATTTTTTTCTTGTTTGCTTCTTCTATCTCAGTTTCCCATCCCTTAATAAAGGCCACCCCTAAATCTTTTGCACGCAAGACGAAGAATAATAAAAAATAAAAGTTGACTCATTTTTTGTTACTACATATTTTTGTATTTCTTTTTATGGGTCATTTATTTAAATAATGTGCAATAAAAGGGTTAATTAGTTTAAAAAAATTTAACAGTACGGAAATCGTGAACTACCTGTTACAGTGAATTAGAATGTTGGTCCTTTGAAGGTTCACTATAGCGGGGTTTGACTGTAGTAAGTTAGAGGATATGATTTATTTTTGTATCCAAAATATCTATTTATGTCAGCTAAACTTACAAATGCAATTATCTCAATTTTGAAAAAAAAAATGGAGATGATCGGTTTTAAAACTTTTCGGTTCATTTTAAATAGTCAAACATCTTGTTAAACAAAAATGCGTATCAGAAAATCTGCTACATAAGCTGCTACAAAAATTGGCACGTTTAACGATTGTATTTGAAAAAAGATATTGATAATAATCTGTAGGTAGTGAACATATCCCCGGGCTTGACTTTAGACTGATTTCATAAAAAAAGTTTGGATTTTTTAAAATACCCATATGCTACACTTTTATGAAGAAAACTTTCTTAAAAATATTTAATTTTATCCATGACTCACTAAATCAATACCATAAACGCAAGTGTAGACATTATATTATTGTTTTTAATAAACTTAGAATATGCTAAGCAGCTGCAGCTCTCCTATTTTAGAATGATAGCTTTGAACTTTTAATATCACATTTCCATGCCAATGTTCCAGAATTTTATTAATTGATTGTTTTAATTTGGTTAAACTGATGGACACTACATAAATTTTTTATATATCATGGAAATGTTTTGTTTCAAACTTAACTCACTCCCTAACGTTAATTTAATTTTTACGTATTTCGCCATATCTCGAGAACTTTGTAAGTGAATTGAAAAGTTTTTAAACACAATTATAAAATTCGTTTTTTCCAAAGATAATTACAAGCAAAAAATAAATTTAAGAAAATATTTACTATTTTTATTATTATATTATTCAATAACAGTCGAAAAACTTTTGACTCGTAAGGTATATCAATTTTTACATAATTTTAAAGTATCTAATTTTACGTAGAAAAATACAAAGTTTGAGCGAAATCGAGTGAATAGGTCATAAGATATCTAATTTTAAATATACGACTTTTTTTAAACATTCGATTTCTCGGAAACTATTTAACCAATTTCTCAAACATTTTCTATTTTGTCATATAAAATGAGATACTTTAAAATTATGTAAAAAATTTTATACCTTATAATTCAATTTTTTCAGACTGTTACTAAATAAAGTATTAAAATTTTAAATCTTTACTAAAAGTCATTTTTTACACGGATTTATCTTTGAATAAATAAATTTTTATAACTGTGTAAGAAGATTTTTCAATTCTCTTTAAAAGTTCGCAAAATACGCAAAAAATTAAATTAACATTAGGAGGACCAAACTTTAGAGACGATATTTCCAAATTGCGGCTGTCTATTCAGAGAAAGTATGTTTTTGCGTCTAAATTCGGATCTTAAAATATCGTCTGGAGCAATTAATTCACACATTTGAGGACACCACTTAGAACCATTAAGATCGACTCCTAGAACGAGAAGATCCGATCATTAGATCAAAAGTTATTCAGGGTGGTCTTTTTTTTTGCGCACTGTACACCACACATTGTGTACTCATCTTGTTTTTGATTAAAACACTTCGATTTTGGTATGGCTATACTTTTAATGCCAAAACTGAACCTAAGCATTAAATTACGCTTAATATTGTAACTTAATTTGTGTCCTACATTTTTTCACACTAACTATTAGGATATAAACACTTACGGTTGACTCTTAAGTCAAAAATCATTCTAAATTTTATGAAATAAGGTTTTCTTGGACATCAATGAACCACAAAGATATATTATATACACATACAAATTAGCAAATACATACTAATGAAATGTCTGAAAAAAATTAAATATTTTGAGTGAAAACTGAAGATCATCTAGTATTCGGATCAAAATACATCGATTTAGATATATCATTACTTTTAGGAACATTAACCCTTTGCTTACGGTGTTCCATGTTGTACCATCACCTGTGGTCCACACGTTGTACCAGCAGTAACCAAAAGGTTAATCGTTATAAATAGAACTTTGTTGAGAAAATTATAAAGAATTATAATAGCAAGACAGCTTCAAATCAATAATAGTAGTTCTAAATGTGTATAAATCTAAATGAAGTTTAGCTGAAATTCTGTATAGTTTCATGAAAGATACCAAATGTCAGAAAAGTGTTTTGAACATTAATGAAAAAAATAAAGTGATTCAACAAAAAATTACACAGATTTTTAATTCCTTATTTACATACCAATAACACAAATAGAAACACACACACAAATTATTTCCACAAATCAGAACATAATGAAATATGGCTCAACAAAAAATACGCAAGATGGTATAAAATACTACAAGTCGCAGCATACATTTATAACTTAAATATAACATAACTTTTTACAAGAATTAAGCTATCTGGTCTATAAACAGACACGCAAGGATGGCATTGTAATTAAAAATGGCTGAAGCCAACATATTTAGGCTAAAAAAGAATTTTCGTTAAAAAAAGCGAAAGGCATTTCAATTGAAATGGCCCTAATCTTAGATTTTAGCAAAGTTTAGAATATATAAAACATTGCAAGTTGTACATTTTTAAGGAAATTCAGCTTTAAAATAAATATGTATAAATAGCAACATTACACATGTGAGTCTCTATCTGATTCTCGCACGGTATCCAATTTTAAATACCCGGATATTCGTTTGGAACGTTGAGTCTTAACATGAGGACTAAGAACAGCCTGAAAAAGAAAAATAATTAGCATTATCTAAAAATTCAAGCCATCAAAATAATCAAAATAGAAGTAACGTTAAAATTAAGAGAATTAGCATCATTTAGAACATTAAAGTTGTCAAAACTAAGATTAGAATTATGAAAATTTACATTATTTAGAGTGTTTCCCAATTTACATTATTGAGAGTATTTTGTGCACCCTTTCTAAATTTTTCATAATGCTGTGTACCACTATTAAAAAATAAATGTATCTTTTACTATAAAAATATTACACAAAAGTTAAAAATCACAACTGGTTGTTGACGCCACTAGTTATTAACTGTTAACTCTGAAAAAAATGGCCAACAGAAAAATACGTAATCTTAAATTTTTATGGCTAGCTTTGTTTTATATTTTTTTTTTTTTAAATTTTCGTTTGTTGCAAAATATTTCGCATAAGAACGCGTACCCCCACTAAACTGTTCCCTTACCCCTGGGGGTACGCGTACCACACTTTGGAAAACACTCATTTAGAACATAGAAATTTTAAAAAATATTATTAGAATAGTAGATTTAAAAGAACTGTTGGAATTAACATAAGAATTATTAGTAATAACTATAGAATTAATATTAAAATTTCAGGAGTTAACCTTAGAATTAAATTAACAATAGAATTATTAGCAGGGGTCTGTCCAGACATTTTGTGAAAGGTCCGTTTTTCGTGAAATTGTGAAAAAATTACTTACATTCTTTCAACCAGGGTCCGCTTTTATGAATTTGTGCAAATAGGGTCCGTTATTGAAAAAAAAAACTTTTTCAAGGAGTTTTTAAATTGTAAAGACATACAAGATTATGCTCAACACTGTAAAATTATAATTAAAAAAATTAAATTTTCAAAAATAAACAACAATTGCTGCTTCTAAATTAGAGATGCAACATACAAATATTTGGTATTTATCTTATACTGCTGAACGCAGAATATTCATTTCGAGCGAATAATGGAAGAATCGTCTACCGAAAACAAAACTTAATTCGTTTACCTCCATCTTTCTTGTTTTCTGCCCTGGAAAGGGTTTATTCGATTAACAAAATAATAATGAAGATAAACAAATTGGGAAAGGTCCGATTAAAAGAAGAATCATTTTGTGAAGGGTCCGTTTTTAAGTTAAAATATTTTGTGAAGGGTCCGTTTTTATGAAAAGATATTTTGTGAAGGGTCCGTTAACGGACCCAAATTTCTTCTAAACAGACCCCTGATTAGTACTAACTATAGAATTAATATTAGAATTTTAGGAATTAATCTTAAAATTAATAATTAAGACTAACCTTAGAATCCCTAGAATCAACATTAGAATTGATTAAAATTAATACTAGAATGATTACTAGTATTTGAAAATTTCTAAAAAGACACTTAATGGAATCTCCTAATTAACACTGTGAAAACAACACAAAATTTTCCTTTTTAAACCTCAAAAAATCTCCACGCCTTTTTAGGTTCTATGACTTTTATTATTTATTCTTAGATGTATATTTATGCTGCTGGAAATAAATAACAAAGTTATAAATTAATATCTAATAAGATTTGTGGATTTTGCAGAAGTCTAAAATTTAAAAAAACGCGATATTGACACTTCTGTCAAATTCGTATTAAAGTGCATGTATTCATATTTTCCTTTAGAACATCAGTAAAAAACATTTACTATTCAATTTAAGTGAAGGTTCAGAGAATTGTTTGTTCTTATAGTACCGAAACGGCTGACTCTCCCTCGAAATAATAAATTTGTATTCTTATTTTGTTTCTTCGCTATTTTATTTTTAAAAAAACCATTTAATAGAAATGTATATTGTCCGCTATTTTATTTTTAAACTTGCTTCCAAAGCTTGTCCCCAAAGCAACCTATTTCTGCTGAATAATTGTCAATATAAAATAAGTCATGTTATGCCCTTTTCTTTTCGAAAAAAATAGCATTGTATGAAAAACATTAGCGTTAATATGAGAAAGAAAAAATTCTTTAAATTGCAATTTTTCGAAAAATCATTTTCAAATTTAACCTTTTGATTGTAAACTAAATAAAGCATTTCTCAATAATAAAAAAAATTGTTTTATAATTTGCAAATCTATTTTCGGTTTGAATGTTTCTTTCCTAAAATCACTCAACTCGGCTCTTCCCCGTTTGACCTGCATTTCTCAGAATTATTTCGTGAACTGAAGTTTAATGATTTTTTAAGTACTCCTAATATTAAAATCATGGGGTCTGCTTTCTTTCCAGTTTTATTCCCAGCTGGTTGTATCTTCGTTTCTCACTCTCTTATCAACCCTTAGCAATCTCTGAACTTATTTTAGTTTTGCCCCATTTGCTCATTTTTTGCCATGGCAATTCTTATTTCAGCTCGATTCCTGAGATATTTTTTCATTGTAGTTCATTCTGTGTCTTTGCACTATTGATAGTTGATGCAGTACCCCCTGTTCTTTTAACTATTACGTGTTGCATATAGCTTCATTTGGGAATTAATTCGCAATATCATGACAGTCAACCACAGCACAAACAATAAAAACCAATAAACAAGCAAAAGTGAACAATAAGCAAGTACAAGTTAGCTATGAACAATTAAAAGTGAATAATACAGAATTAAAAGTGAACAATAAACAATTAAGACTGAACGTTGAGCAATTATAAGTAAGCATTTAAACATTTAAAAATTGAACAATAAACCACTAAAAGAGAACAAGAAACAATTAAAATTGAACGTTAAACAATTAAAATTAAGTAATAAATAATTAAATGTGAACAATAAACAATTTAAAATTTGAAAAGGAGCAATAAATGTTAACTATAGCACTTTTATACGATGTGCTTGATTCTTTTTGCTGCAACATATCTTCGCTCTTTGGCCATTTATTTTGAAACAATTCTTACAGAAAATAGAAAGATAAAATTTCCTTCTGTTATGACAATTTAAGTTTGCAATATTAGCCTCATAAGGCTGGTTTATGGATACTTAAAATTTTATAGGAAGTTTTAATATACTCTAAAATCTGATGATTCAAACTAACCAAATTAAGGCTGTTGACTCATGATAGAAAAAATACTGCATTTACATTATTCTATAAGAAATATGTTTCAAATAGCTTTCATGTTAATATTTAAAAAAGACTACATTGAAGATTAGTATGATAAAAATAGCTTGCGCATAAATATGATAAAATGGGCTCAAACATTAAGGTGGTAACTTACACATAAGTATAATAAAAATAACCAGCGCATTAATAAGATAAAACGAGCTTAAATATTAATGTGGTAACTTACACATTAGTATGATAAAAATAGCATGCCCATTAATGGGTCGAAATCAGCTTATACGTTTATATGTTAATTTATACATTAGTGTGATATATAAGAACAGGATGCTCATTTATATGCCAAAAACAGCGTACTCATGACTATTGCTCTAAAATAAACAATTTAACCTAAAATTACTGAGAAAAAAAGTATGGTCAAAACTACCAGAATATGGTAATATTTACCGTGTTTTTGGCTCTCTGGGAAAACTAATAAACTCGGTAATTTTTACCTCAGCGCTTTGGTAATGATTTTGGTAAAATTATTAATAAAATATTAGTGTTTAATAAGTTATAAAATTTGGTAACTGTGGTAATTTTATAATGATACCTTAGAATATGATATAAAAGCAATTTATTCGGTTAAATTTGCTTTTCAGTTTTGTACTTTTTACTGAAAGTGCTGTAACAAAAACTATAACGTTGAAAACTCGATTTTCCTATGAATCGTTACCATATGAATGGAAAAATTACCAAATAAATAATTTAAATATCGTATTTTGGTTTTATTAGCCAGAATTATGGTTTTTTTCTACCAGAAATGTCGCAGAAATGTTGCACTGTCAAAATTGCTTTTGAAATGCTTTTTTTTTTAAATAAATACATAAAATTAAACTGAAAATTAAAACAGAATTTGAAAAGAATACGCTATACGGCAAATTCTCCAATTATTTCTACAATTTTTAATTTGAACTTTTATTTTAAAATTAAGTAATGTAAGACAAGGCAGTTAGGGTTACAAAATATTCAACAAAAAGCATCGACGAGTTTTTCAATTTTTACTACTTATTATAGTATCTTTTTATTAAAAATGAAGGCAGCATATTCCCTTTGCTCTGACATTAGGAAAAAACAGCCTAAAGCTACTAAACCAGTTTAAATCAGAAAAAAAAAAATTGTGAATTTTCGGTTATTTTTCCCCATCAAAAACATGAAATTCTACGGAACGTCAAAGACGTTATATTTTTTTCCTTTGCAGACTATAAAATTAATGAGTACAATGACGTTGAATGTTCAGTTTCTTCAATAAAGCTTAAATAAAAAAAAATAAAAATCTTTCAGTAGAATTATCATACATTAACCTTAACACTTTTTTATAAACTAAATGGTAAAAAAAGGAATGAAAAGAAATTTATTATTCAATTGAAGGCAAATTTTTCGGCACTTTTATACGAATTATTATTTCAAGACTGTGTTTTCTTTATAGACTAAAAAATTAGTGTTATAACATTGAAAATTTAATTTATTTAATTAATATAAAAAATATATAACTTTCTTACAAATAAAAGAATCATATTAAGTTAGAACAGATAAGCTTTAAACTTTTTTTGTATCTAAATTATAAGGAGATGAATTATAAATCAAAAAAATTATTTTTCAATTTTCGTAAGAGAAATTTTTGCTAATGTTACATAATATTTCATATTAAGAATGTTTTTTGTCGACTAAAAAAATATTATTATAATATTGAGAGTTTGGCTCCTTCAGTTTCAATTATTATTAAAAAAAAAGAGGAAGAAAAACTAAATGTCTCTTACGAGAGACAAACAAAAGAAGTTTGTTAAATTAGTTTATATTAACCTTTAAAATCTTTTAATAAAATTGCAAAAGTAGATTAATAAAAATTGAAACAAATTTATTTTACAATAATGTTTTTGCAAATGTTAAGGTTATTTTAAGATTGTTTTTAAATTGTAGACTATGAAAAAAGGAGTTCAATGTCTTTCAAAATTCAGTTTTCACAATTATTCTCAAATATAAAAAAAACTGAAAATTTCATACAAAATAGCATATATTTACTTTTAAACCTGTTTTACAACTTAATATAAGAAATTGAAAATAAATTAAAAAATTCATGTTACTTAATTTGAAATAAAAAAAAGAAAGAAAGTAACTTAATTAATTTGAATAAAGCTTTTGCTGTTATCGACCCCAGACACTTTATGAACTTTAAGCCAATGAGGTAGAAATATATGACAAAAATGTACATTTTTGCCACAAATATTCTAAGAAAGTTGGAACCAATTTGCAGTGATTTTCTTTTTTAATTTCAACATAGTTAATTAAAATTTGGTAATGCATTTCCTAACCTGATGTCTGGTTTCGATAACATTTTTGAAAAGTTTTTCATATAAACGTAACGTTGCATTTAGTAGTTAAATTTCATTTTATTTTGTGAGGGGTCTCATTAAGCGGTAACACAAAGTAATAAAAAACATTACAATTAAATGGTATATTTCTTATTATCCTTGTTAAAAAAAGTTATCACTAAGGACAACATGCACAGTTCCAGATAAAGAATAATTTTTTAAAAATAAATAAAGTTTTCTGCTTCAAATAATTCTCTTTTAGCTTATAGAATCACTTGAAAATATGTGAAGCAGATCCTTTACACAAATTATATTAAAGATAATTTTTGAAGCCGTAAAATGAGGAGCAAAAACTTACTCATTTTGTTTCTATACAGATTTTGCTTTCGTCTATAGTTTAAAACAATTTTAGACGCCTCAAACAATTAATTATTATTTACAAAAAAAGTTCCTCGAGAAATACATAAGATCCGGGGTCTCAAAACTACATCTTACTACAAAGTTTATAAGAATTTTAAAAAAAATTAGAAAAAAATAATAACAGGTAAATTTAAAAACCATAACAACTAATGAGGTAGGTAGTTGGAAAAATATCACAATACTCAAAATGCCTCATCAGAAAAGAAGCATGAAGTTCAACATACCTTAAAAATGTTTTCAATAGTCCCAAATCCATTAAAATTAAGCAATAACACCGATTTTTTTTGTCGCATTTATACAAATACTTGATCTCGTTTGATTCGGATTCTAGATTTCAAATCTGAAATTATATTTTTGATCCTGGCGCTGCAATTTTTTTTAAAAATTACATTTTTAGTCTATTTTTTGTCGAAATGTACAAGTTTAAAAACGTTATACATAACAGATGATCGGGTAAGTGTTACGACGAACTTCTAGGGGACTTCATCAAAATTTAAATTGTATTGGAACCCATACACGGAAATGTGACTAGTAGCGCTTCCCCATTATGACCTGTTCAGAAATACACGAATAAACAGCTCATAATAGGGAAGCGTTCCTAGCCACGTATGACGACATTTCCAGGCATGGGTTCCTATGCAATTTTAATTCTCATGATGTTTCCTAACTCCCACTGAAGTTTCTCGCGACATTAACGCACTCCCTGTTATATATAACGTTTTTAAAATTAGAAACGGAGCACGAAGAAACAGTTCAAAATATGAAGTATCCCTAGCGGCGTTTGACGGCATTCCCATTGATTAAATGGAAATGCCGTCAGTTTTAATCCTAATGTTGCAGTTTTAGTCCTAATGTTATGCTTCGCTGTACCATTTACACGGCCTCCTGTTATATATAACGTTTTTAAACTTATCAAACATTTAGGCAAAAAATAGACAAAAAATGCCATTTTAAAAAAATCTGTACCTTGTAGAGAGAAACAGGAGATTTGAAATCAGTGATACGGAAATATCCAAGATCTGATTTTTAAAAAATCTCATGCAACAGAAACCAAGAAAAAAAAAAGTTGTTTCCCATAATCAAAAAATGATTTTTAAATTTGTAAAAAGGGAGATAACCTCTTCTTTCTCATTTAAATAATACCTTTGCTGGCTGAATCTTAGATCCCTACATATCAGTGTGAATAAAAAATTTGTAGATGCCCCAGCATATGATGATTAATCAAACATTCTTTATTTGTACAATGCATTACGTTGTATTTTAAATTTAAGAGTTCAGCAAAGGATTAAATGTACGAACTTTAAACTAATAAGCCTATAATCTCCATTCAAATAACTTTAACCCTACTTCCAAAGCTTCAATTATGTGTAAAAAAAAAAAAATAGCACCCTAGAATATGCAAATAACGCTATTCAAAAGAGGCTCATCACTCAGTGAGAAAACATAGCCTACGTCATCTCAGTTTTATTTGATTGTTACTCAACCAGTTCGAAAACTCTCGCCTCTTGTGCCTAAGACATTTTAAATCAAGCGGAAACGAGAAGCTTTTTTTTTTATTTTGTTATTTATCTTGACAAGAGAGGATTTTTGATGAATGAGGAAAGTTTGAGGACTTACCTGCTGCGTAAGTCTCGTGTCCTTGAACTTGTATTTCTTGTAATACAAAACAATGGATTCGAGGTAAGGAAAGGGAAAATCGTTGAAGTAGAACAAATCGTTTAACTTTACGATCGAATGATGGACAACCTCTCCACTGGTTGTTCTGAAATATTAAGAAAGTGAAAATTCTAAATTAATATTTCGGTAAACAAAGATATTTTTAAAATTACTCGTAGCTTATTGAGAGGACGCCATACAGTGGAAGAAAGTTTTCGTCGCAAATTTTCTTTCTCCTCTTTTACTAATTTAAAATTTAAAAGAAAGTAAAAGAAAGTTCAGGCAAATCTAGAAGTTATGAGGTTTCAATCGCTGAAAAAAATACTTCAAAATACATAATTCATAATTCTCTCCGGGATTTCGAAGCGTTATAATAGTAAAAAAACGAAGACGAATATGGCAAAAAAGAACATATGAAATTATTCCGAAAGTATTCAAGTTTTAATTTGAGCAGTTGCCGGTAGATGGCAGTAACATGTATCACTGAAGCCAGTTATAGTAATGAAAAATGGCTTTTACAGGCGGAGGGAATTATGAATAACCATATCAAACAGATTATTAGAAGAGAACTTCTCCGTTGCGGAAATCTAAATCAAAATATCACAATTTGCTTCCATTTGTATATTTTAAAAGTTTCTTTTCAGCATTTAAAACATCATGTCTTACTCTAGGTTTGTCTGAACTCACTTTTTCTACACTTTAAATTTTAAATTAGTAATAAAGGAGAAAGAGAATTTGCGACGAAAATTTTCTCCCGCAGTATGGCGTCCTCCTAAAAGAAATTTTTTTTAAGGATTAAGTCTGTGTCAGTATCCCGCCAGGCGGGTTTTAATGCGCATGCAACTGTAAATACCCGAACTAAGCGTTTTGCTTATGCCGACCAGGTGGCCGAGTGGTTAGCGTGTCTGACTGCGGAGCCGATGGTTGTGGGTTCGAATCCCGCTCAGGGCATGGATGTCTCTTTCTCTCTGTGTTCTATGTCCTTTCTCCTTTGNTCAGTCCACTGCGGGACCGATCTGTGGATGAATGAATGGATGTATGAATGGGTTCGCCCTATAAACGGGTGCGACGTATGGTGCGGCAGAAGTCGAATTCTTGGTCATAGATGGCGCCACTGGAAAACAAGAAACACACACGCTGCCTTAAATTAACACGGTACGTACGTTAACAACAACAACAAAAGAAAGTTCAGGCAAATCTAGAAGTTATGAGGTTTCAATTGTTGAAAAAAATACTTCAAAATATTAAAATGCAAACAAAAACTTCTCCGTTGCGAAAATCTAAGTTATCATCTCACAATTTGTTTTCATTTGTATATTTTGAAAGTTTCTTATCAGTATTTGAAACTTCATAGATTACTCTAGGTTTGTTTGAACTCTCTTTTTCTACACTATAAATTTCAAATTAGTAATGAAGGTTAAAGAGAATTTGCGACCAAAATTTTCTTCCGCTGTATGGCATCCTCTTGAAGCAATTATTTAAAAGGATCAAGTCTGTGTCAGTGTCTCACCAGGAGGGGTTTAATGCACATGCGACTGTAAATAGCCGAACTAACCGTTTTGCCTATTCCTTTTTCGAATTACTAGTAAAATAACTAAGTGCTTAGTAGTTTCTGTAATTTCGCAGTCTAACTATGGTAGTGAGATTAAATGGAAATAAAGTTTATTCCAATTATGTATTGCAACTTGCAGAGTGGAAACGCGTTTTTGCTACACTTGTAACACGCGTTTTGCTGCACGTAAATAACCAACTCATACATAATATTAATTTCAAGATATACAATAACACAAATGAATGGAATCAATGAATGAGAAACTCAATGAATCTGTGAACAAATGAACCATCAGATTGAAGAATCATTGCTTTGCTGTTTCAAAAATTTACTGATTTATTCATTCTTTGGTTTGCTCTCTCATGGAATTAATGAATACTTTGACTCTCTCATTCATCGATTAGCTGATATACCCATTAAGTGATTATGTTGATTTATCTATTTGCTCGTTAATTTGTTTGTTGACTTGTTAATTCACTCCTTCTGTCATTGGCTGGTTGATTCACTCATTCCTTCGTTCGCTAATTCATCCGTTCACTGATTTGTTGATTTCATGATCCGCTGATTCGTTGTTTTGTTCATCCGCGGATTAACTTGTTTTCTTATGCACTGATTCGCTCTTTGACTCTGTGCTATTTGATTACTCGCTTTATGCGAGAAAAAGAATTAACTATAAATTGCAGCAAATAAACAAAATAAAATTTTAAAACAAATCTTTTTAAGTTCCATATTACGAACACAAAATTATTGGTGCCCCGGCTCTTGACATGTTTACTGGGAATTGCGTTTGGAAATGGATTTCGGTTATTTAAGGTAACGCGACACATCTGTCCCGCAGTGGACTGATCGTAAAGACACGGTTCCCAGTTGAACACCAAAGTCAAGCATCACTGGCTGTGATCAGTAAGCGGGTGGGTGACCACTTTGATCAGCCTACGTAGGGATCGAGGGTGCGCAGTATCGGTCATCGTTAAACTGTTCCACCGTAAAGTGCTCGACTTCGCACGCAGGTCGTCAGGCTACCAAAGCGGAAGAGCCATCCTCTCTGCAGAGGACTAAAATTGTGATGTCATGCCTTAGGATCATCCTCGGGGATGCTTCCCAGATCGTCGCCAATAGCCCATCATGCAGATTTAGTACGATGTAAATAAAAAACATACCTTGTATAAACACGAAACATCTAAATTTCAAAAAGCTGAATTGTTTATTATTAATACTATTATGAAATAAGTTAGATATCAAGCTCTCTCTATAGCTTTTAAGCAAAAGTTGAAACATTGAATGAAATAGAATTAAAAAAATTTGGAATAATCAAAACATAAATTAAGATCTCTTGATATCAGCGTAAACATAAAGAATTAAATACTGGAAATTATTACAAATAAAATTCGGATAATCCATTTTTTTCATTTATTTACGAAATACAATAAAAATACATTTATTTTTTAAAAAAAAACTTCGTACAGGTTCCTAAATTCTTTTAAACAACTTGCATTCTTTTTTCTACGCACGTTCAGTTATTCATCAAGAAGTGGACGGCATAATGTAAAATCTATTCAATATCGTTCACAAGTTAAAGTAAATAAAGTATTTAAAAATCCTAAATTGAGAGGACGCAATTTTAAAAACTTATAATTACACTGGTGAGCAAATTTTTTGAAAATACTTGATCTTACTTAATTTAGGTGTGGGGTTTTCAAATCTGCAGTCAATTTTGGTCTTAAAGCTACAAATTTTTTTAAATGACATTTTTAGTCAATTTTTTGTCGGAATGTATAGGTTTAAAAACGTTATATATAACAAGGGTTGTTCAAATGCAGTGAGAAACTTCTAGGGGAGTTAGGACGCATCATCAGAATCAAAACAGAAGAGAAATCAATGGCCGGAAACGTCGTTGTACGCAACTAGGGGCGCTTCCCCATTATGACCTGTTCAGAAGTACACGTATAAACAGTTCATAATAGGGAAGAGCTCCTAACCCTTACAACGACATCTCCAAGCATGAGTTCCTATGCAGTTTTAATTCTCATTATGTTCCTTAACTCCCATAGAAGTTTCTCGCAATATTCACGCAATCCCATATATAACGTTTTGTATAATTTAACTTTTAGTATTGTTTTTGCATAACGTAAATGTATATATAACGTTTTTCAGATTAAACATTTCGACAAAAAATAGACTAGACTAAAAATATCATTTAAGAAAACTGTAGCTTGGCGCGAGAAATCGATTGTGGATTTAATACCAGCGACGTGAAAATATTCAAAATCTGTTTTTAAACAAATCTCATGCTAAAGGGGGGGGGGATTGTTCCCTAGTCTGATTTAAACGACATTTTTCTGAAATTAATTTATTAATATAAATTTACAGAAATAAACCCCATAAAAATTGCTTGCAGCGCTAAAAATATTTAGAGACTAAGAAGTTACAGCTGATTATAGTTGAATTATATCATTGCAATTGCTTTCAATACCTGAAAGAAAGACATATTCGTTCCTTTTCTACATCTTCATACAAAATGTATGTGCCTGGTCTCTGGCCATCTTTTCCGAGAATTTCTGTAGCTTCTGTTCTCGTTAGCACAATTGGATCGATTCTGCAAACAAACGAAATCACATTAGATGCAAGTGGAACAGATTTGGTTAATAAATTCAAATCATGAAAGTATGGTAATATACCCTAATGTTGCATTGCGGCCGTGACCATTAATTTCCAGGACTGTTCTATGAATTCCGGAAAATATTATATCAATTGCATACCCGTTTAATGTATTTCAAAGAAACTTACACCTGCCATAATGTACTTCTTTATTTAGGTGTAAAAATTTTGGAATAAACTTTTAAGTGTGTTTAACGACGCCGTTTCGTCAAGGAAAATAAAAAAAGTCACAGTTTAAGTGCCTATAACTTCAAAGCAAAGCTATAGTTTTGAACTATGCCGTAAAGAATTATCTGAAAACTTTAGAACAACAAATAGCTTATATGTTCAAAATGTTACTATTTTTTTTTAATGAGCGCCAATTTGGCGAGATTTATTTTTAGGTGAAAATTATTAAATCAAATAATAATTCTAAGTTATTGCAAATTTTCATGAGTCCAAGTAATGCCGCGTTTGGAATTCAAGTACTGAAAAACTAAACCTAAATTCCTTTTATCACTAAACTGTGGCTTTTCTTCTTATAGATATTCCTCTTCAGAATAGTTAGCATAGGGATAGCTAGCTGAAGGTAGAAAAAACTTAATTTAACAGTCATAAATAATTGTTATAAACTCGCAGCAGTTATAAAAATATATTATTCACTAAAAAAATTATCTCATGTGACGTTAGAACCTTCGAAAATTCAACGATAGAACGATGGAAAACTCTTTAATTCTGATGTTGGGGTTTTCTTTACGACTCCCAACACTCTTAAACTTCGTTCCGTAAGCAAATGACTTCGCTTCAGAAGATGAAGTGAAGATGAATCATTCACCATAATCTTCGGAGAAATTTCTTAAAAAGATTTTAGAACGGAGAAATTTCTTTTCTGTTCCCGAAGCAGAAAAAAATGCTTCAAAATTAATGAAAAATCAAGGTTTAAATATGACGAAGAAACTATCCCAAAAGAGGACTTCAAAAGTTTTTTCTAAAGCATTTACATCTGTGAACAGAAAGGAATTACATCATGTGGTAGTTAATTCGAACTAAATGGGTATGTAATTTAGGAGTTATTAGATCGGTCCTGGAAATTAACAACCACCCCTTGCATTCGGCCCATACAGTAATTGTGTTAAAATTCCTTATTTTTAGTAATAGACGACATATTATTACTGAGTGCCTCAAATGTTACTGATGATTTTTAAAAAAAATCAATTGAAGTACAACTTAAGGAGTTGAATTATGAACTAGCGGCAATCTGCTTAGGTAACGAAGCACTTTATTCGCAACAAGTTTTAAGATTAGTTACAAAAATCATCATCAGATGGCGCTACTGACTGAATAAAACTATAAAACAATGTTTTGAGCTGCGCGTTAGACCATCCGTGGCGCATGTTAATTTTATCTTCAGACTGCGCCAGTTTGTTACTATAAATGATACTTATTTTGTAAACATTGATTTGTATTTTTCTCGATTAACTGCGCCATCTATGGACAAAATTTGTGACTATTTTTTTAACTTCATGAGAACTAATTCTTAGTTACTTGATCACAAAACAACTAATCCAATTATTTCTCAAACAGTTTGGTCATTTTTAGGATCTTTAAATTCCACTCTGGTACTGTGAGTTATTAGACTTAACACATTCTTATACATTTTCAAGAACTGACAACATTAAATTATGAAGATCAACAGATGCCATTTACAATTATCTAGAAAATAACACTCAAATAACGTGTTTTCCAACTCAAGTTTTTCTGATTAAAATCTAATTCAGTTTGAAATTGCATTTAATTAATTTTATTGTTGATTACAAAAAGATTATTCATTTATAATGTTCTTATATGTTAACGTTATAATATATAATGATAACGCGGTATTGTTTAATATTTGTTTTAAATATCAAGAGTAAAATTTGACGAAACATGGATTTTTTGTAAAATAAGACGAAGAAAAAAATTTATGTTATTTGTTCAAATATAATATAATGCTTTAAATAAAGCTGATGTATTTTGTCTAACCACCTATGTAATTAAATACCAATTATTATGTCAAGATTCTTGTAATTAATTTCAGAGTATGTTTTACTGTAGGTTTCCTAACATGATCAATATACAAACTTAAAAAACTTAATACAAAAAACAAAATTCAAATGATAAATAAGATAAGCATGAAGATAAAAACATTTGTAGTTATTTCCACGACAAAAGTAAGCAACAAAATGTTAAAAAGTAAAAAAGAAAAAATTTAATCAATTACAAAGGAGGAAAGTTCTTTGAAAAATGACATCTTATCAGTTATTAGAAAAGGGGAAATTTCCTTTCAATATAGGATTAAAACAATATAAAATTACAAAAGGTCTTAAATCGCCATTCTTGTACTTAATCCTCTTTTTAGATTTACTGATAGTGCTGTAATCCATGAATATGTAAGTGCTTTAAGCCACGTGATTGCGGGAAATCGTGGGTTAGGTGGTCAAGGAGCGGGTTTTACAATATCTCAATTGAGGCTCTAAAATGAAAGGCTGTTAAGTTTCCAAATTATATTATTTGAAGCATTTTCCTTACTCTTTTGTTTAAATAGATGCATTAGCTGTTAAAATTATAAGGCTAATGATTCCTCTAAATCTCGAAATTTTATTTTCAAAAAGCTTTCCTTACTTCTTCGTTTAAATAGATGCATAATCTGTTAAAAATATACGGCTAATGATTCTTCTAAATTTACAAATTCTATTGTGTAAAACGTCTGTCTTAATCCTTTGTTGAAATAGATATATTAGCTGTCAAAATGTTCCAGAAAATAACAATTGTCCCACAAGACCAGTGATTTTGAACTTTAGTTGTCAAAAAAGAATTTTTGAAAACATAAGACAAAACCAGTTTCGAATCTCAGCAATGGCTGGTGTATTACTTATTCTAAGGTATGCTGTTTCAGATTCACTTCCATCAATATATTAACGTAAAGTAGTCTCAGAGATGACATTTATCCCCAGTATGGTAAATGGTTTCATGTTTTACAACATTAATGTAACTACTACCCTTGTGTACTACTTTGCGGCCGACTACAGTGTCTCACGAAGACGTATATAGCACGTACTCTGTGGTTCTTAGCGGATTCGAAGATCGAACCTTGGCACCTCCAGACCACTATCCGATTCTCTAACAACTGGGCTACTTCAGCTTCGCCTAATACCATATTGACCTTATATATTAGTGAATGACTTTTCCAACTGATTAAAAGAAGAAAAAAAATTCTGAATGCAAAAGATTTCAGAACATTACATTTTCAGGTGTATTCACTTTTTGCCTTCTTCACGCTTAATATCTGCCACATTAAGATATCAAATCTCTTAATATAATTGTTCTTTTTTAAGCTTATCTAATATTAGAGTAGAATCTACAATTTACGTGCCAAAATTAGAGAACACATCCACTAAATACTACATTATCGAAATCATAAACAAGCCGGAACGACCACTACACACTAAGAACTTCATGGCGATTTGCCACTTCTGGAAAGAACCACTCGTGTGGAACAGTCAGATTATTGAAATCTTCTTTTGCACATTCATTTGTTCTTCGAATACGTTATTGGTTCGCGTGCATCACGAAACCTATTCTTATTCACAGTCTAGAAAATGATTTTAAATGTGCATTCGAAAAGCATTCGTCCGTGTAGTTTACTTTAAATCTTCTACTATTTTTAATTTTCTATTACTCTCTTACTTTCGATTGAAATTCTTAGCTTTTATCGGATTTAATTTAAGAATGAAGTGGGGTTTTTTAAAATAAAATATGAATAGTTCAAACAGTTGCTGTAGTTTTAGAAACTATTTCTAATAATAGCATTTTTCGTTCATTTTAATCAAAGGGAAGGTACAGAGCCAAAGACAAAAAATAAACCACCCTAAATAACTTTTGATCTATTAATCGGATCTTCACTTTCTAGGACTTAACCTTCATGTTTTGAGGTGGGTGACCTTAAATATGCCAATTAATTATCACAGACGATATTTTAAGTTGCAAAAACGTACTTTCTCTAAATAAACATAACTTTTCTTCTACAGATTCGGATTTCTGACCCCCAAAATATAGGGGTAGTCGCAATCTAGGAAATATAGTCTCGATAGCTTTGTCAGGAGAGCGGTCCAAAGTTTCGACCCTTTAATGTTAATTTTATTTTTTGGGTATTCCATGATATCTTGAGAACTTTTTAGGAAATTTAAAAAAATTTGCACACAATTATAAAAATTTTTAATCAAAGATAAATTCATGCAAGAAATTACTTTTAAGTAAATATTTATTAATTATTCTAATTTTATTTAATAATAGTCGTTTTCGTTAATAATAGTTTACTTGGTTATGAAAGAATTTTCTATCAAAGAAGCAAGAGGACATTCAATAAAAAATAAAAGTTATTTATATTAAAATGTTTTCATTAATTTAAAATCATAAGGAAGATATCTCAATTACATTGAGTTTTTAAATCATGAAAAAAAGGATTATAGTTTTAATATATAAAGGAAAGGATTATAGTTTGAATAATAAATTTCTTGAATAACAAACAAACGTGTTTAGAATAATTTATAGCAGTTATGAAAGTATTTGCAATCAGAGAATCTAAGAGACATTTAATTCAATTTTAAAAAATTTTGAACAACAATATAATTTTTCATTGATGTTGACAAGGAAGGAAGGTATAACAAGTATTATTCATCACATTAAATTTTTGTGTTTGAATTGCTTCTAACATAAGTAGTAAATAAATATATGTGTCGTTTAATTTGACTTAATCATGATATTAATTGCTTTCAAAGAAGCAAGAGAACGTATAACTGAAAGTTATGTAAATAAAAATGTTTGTCAATACTTCCTTTCCGTTAATAGTACGTTTTTTTTTAAGTACCATAATCTTATTGAATTTTTTTAAACATAAATAATAAAAAGGCATGATGTGTA